GAGTATTAATTATTTTTTTGTGAATCGAATTGACTAGATCAAACCTAAGTAAAAACAGATCAAGTCCTCCAATAGGATGAGACGAAGAGAATTGAACAAGCTCTTAGTTGATAGGTCCTTGACAAAGTTAGTTACTCGTATTATTTAGGTTAAAGTACCATATCATTATATAATTAGAGAGAATAACGAGCAAATAGTATAGAAATTGAATTAGATCATTATTAGATTTAACTTTTTAGTATGGTGTTGGGATTTAGCCCAAGAAATATGGCGCGCGAAGAACAAAAGAGTAATAAGAACTCGTGTATGTTTGTCTAAGCTTTATTCAGCGTGTCTTACAAGGCATGTAACATTTCGTGCGCTACATTATCAGCGATTCGCCAGTCATGCGTTAATCGTGGCGAAGAATAAGTCATCAACTCTCCCTAAATCCCACGATTTGGGGAATCACAACTAATTTGGGTATTGGGTCAGACCCGACACTCCGGGTCCATCTCTGTGCCTCGCCTCTATGTTCTGCAATTGGACTTATATACTTGTTGGGTCGTGTGATTGCAATTAGGTTGGAATTGTCCTTATCTGATTACCGGACCAGATATCCATCATATGGTTTGATTGAATTCAAATGTCCTATAACCCAGTTGAGATAAATATTATCTGACAATAAATTCTATTATGATATGAAATCAAGTTTTGACTAACATTAACTTTTTTGTCAATATATATAAGTCCGTTTGGAAGTTCATTCTCATTCCGTCAATGTATCTTTAGCTTGGGTACATACTTAGAGGCACATGACCTATAGGTATCAAAGTATCCCAGGCCATCAAAAACATTGAGAAAGAGTAATGAGTAAATGAGACCTTTAATTAGTTTAACTCCATTTTTAATTTTTATCGAAATTATAAACGAAAAGACCGATAGATATATGCTTGCGAGGAGGAAATATTATCAAAGAAGCTTTTTAGACGTGAGAGTGTGAGACAGTATACTTCATGGGAAGAGGACATGGCAAACATATTGTTAGTTGTTACACATGTGACGTGTAAAAAAAATATTCCCTCCCGTCCGAGTATGTTTTAATTTGTTGAGTTTGATTTTTTCAGTCAAACTGAATGAATTTTGACCTTTAATTAAATTAAAATCGTAACATATACTTCTTCCGTCCCACAAAACCCTTCTCCTTTCTTTTTTCATCCGTCCCAAAAAGCACTTCTCTATTCCTATTAAAAAGTTACATTTACCCATATTAACTCTTAACCTACCTATTGATGGGTAATAATCCATTGATTCCACCGGTAGGTTCGCAAGCGACCGGGAGGTAGCTAAATCTGACGCCCCAACCGGTCAGGTATGAGAAGATTCGGAATCAGAAACATGGCTTCGTCTGAGAAAGGCATGCATGCTGACCGGTTGGAGACTGACCGACCGGAAGAACGGAGATGTGCTTCTTCATTATTATAAATAGGAGTAAAAGCCTCATTTGTTAGGCATGCTTTAATTAATCCACACGGCTTGTACTTTGTAAACAGTCTCAATATCATTAATAACAAACCGGGTTACAGGTGTTCCCACATACAGCCCTTTCGCTTATTCGTACTTAATATTTGCACGGTTTTACACCATCACCTATCACATCAAACTTTTTCTCTAATAATCTACCCATCTCATCCTTCTTTATTCATCACATCAAAGGGTATTTTTGGAAAGTCAACACCAAAATACATTCCCCTTAAATCCTTTAAAAGTCAAAATGAGAAGTTTTTAAGAGACGGAGGGAGTATTTGTATAATAAAAATGAATTTATTAAATTTATCTTACTGAAAACTTTCAAAACTTTTTGTTATATTTATGTGCAATACAAATTGAGAGTAATTCAAAGCTCAAGGTTAGTCTAATTTGATTCGAAAAAATCAAACTGGATAAATACATTATGACGGAGATAGTATATATTATCTTCGTCCCATAAAAAAATTGTTTGACTTTTAGTTTGTAGAGTCTTAAAAATTGTTAGATTTAAAAAGTGGTTTGTATTTGTATAGAAGAGATAAATTTTTTGAATCACATTTTATTTTTCTTATAACGAAAAAAAGTTTTATTTAACATATGAAGAAAAGAAAAGTTATTTTTTTTAGAAGAAATATGGAGTAAAACAGAAATTGCCATAAATACGAGTAAAAAACATAGAGAAAGTACTAAAATAAAATTTTCGTGTTTTCATTCCCAAACTAAGAGCTCCTACTGTGGTAATATGACACTATATATGGACATTTTATAATATTTTTTGGTAATGTATATGATTATGATTGATACGATAAATGTTCTTTAACTCTTATTTTAAAAATAAAAACATAAATTTTTTATTTTAATATAATTTTAATATTTTACTCCTACTCTAATTTTTTTCAGAAATAAAATGGGTGTTTGGTGGTGTGGATATGGATGTAGGAGAATTTAATAGGGTAGCCTTTGAGACACCTTTTTACATGCACAACCTGACCATAAAATTTACACATGTCCCTTTTGCGTTCATTATCCAGGGTTTAATAATTGTTTATTAGTTTGGACAGTTTTAGAATTTCCTTTGAATTAATTAGGATGAAATCCCAAACCAGAATACCGCACATTCATTCTGTCCAACTTACTCCCTTTTTAAAAATTAAATACCGCTATTATCACATCAAATTTTAGTGCCATAATTAATATTTCATCACTCTCATAAATTATTTTCTGCTTGAAAAGAAAATGAGCTTTTAAAACAAATAATTTTGATATTATTTTTTCATTTTCAATTTTCTATTTAATGCATTTATACATCGATGATACCATACCATATTAAAATCCTTCCTTTTTGAAAAAAAGACGCACTCTTAAAATGAATAGTTTCAGTTTTATTTTTAAATTTTGCTATTACTTTATAATAAAGTAGGATGAGATGCAGTGTAGGATAATTGAGTTTAATTGAAAAAATAATACTAAAATTACTCATTTTAAAGGTGCACCTTTTTTTCAAACAAAAAAGATTTTAAGAGAGGAAAGGAGTATAAACTAAGAGTAAAATTAAAAATAAAATCAAAATTCTACATTTTTAAAGTCCGACTTTTTAAAACAAGAAATATTTTGTGAGACGAAAGAAGTAGGGGTGAGCAAATTAACCGGACCGACCGCGAAACCGAAAACCGAAATAACCGGAAGTTCGGTTTCGGTTTTCATGTAAAAGTTATTTTCGGTTTTTTCGGTCGGTTTTCGGTTTTTTTGTAAGAAAAACCGAACCGACCGAATAACCGATGATTTTATTTTAATTTATTTTTTATTTTTTAAAATAAGAAAATATTTGATTAACATACATGCTTTATTTTTACTCTTTCATGGAAAACTATAATGTTTCATTTTTAAAAAAATTATTTGTTAATGTTTTGAACATATTAATAAGAAAAGTGCAATTTTTATATGAAATGGATAGTGTATATTCAAATAAAAATTAATCTACCTTACTAAATCAATGACAATAGAAAAGTCTTAATCTAAACTAATTTAATACATATCAATCTACCTTTCCGAATTAGTTTCTTGAATTTATATTAAAAAATTAAAATAAAAGTAATTAGAATTCGGTTTTTCGGTCGGTTTTTTTGATGTATGGGCGGTTTTCGGTTCGGTCGATTTTAATTTATGGTCGGTTCGGTTTGGTCGGTTTTCAACCATGTTAAAAAAGTCAGTTTTTTCGGTTTCAAACCGAAACCGACCGTTGCTCATCCCTAGAAAGAAGTATAACAAGCCCTATTATATGTTCTTTATTATTGGACTTAGGATCTAGTCGTCCTGCCCCCTCCCCACCCCACCCCCCCTAACTCGCCCTTTTTTTAATATAGTAATACTCTCTTCGTCCCAAAAAAAAAGGTGTGATAATTTGACTTGGAACAAAGTATAAGAAAAATAAAAATATGTAGCTGAAAGTAATGAAAATAAGAGAAAAATATTTCAAGCCACTCAAAATTAATTATAAAAGGAAAGATGGGCTTTTTTGGAATGTCCCAAAAATTGGAAGTAAAATGTGTAGACTAGACAAAAACATTAAATAGTCTTCAAAACACTACATTGAAGTCGTAAATTGTTGCCAAATGGAACCATTAACTCTCTCTCTAATTAGGGAGTACGATCGAGTTGTTAATTATTAACCATTAGCTATCTAATTAGGGAGTGCGAGAGTAATTATCACTCCGTACGTCTACGGACCATCCTTAATCATTTTACCCACACTTAAACATCCTACGCCGTCATCTATAGATATTGTAGTACGAGGTTAATTAAAGATGGTTTCCGAGGATAAATAAATATATGCATGCTACTGCAACAATTTTCCAATTTTCTTTTTCGTTCCTCCGAATTAATTTCTCATTTTTTTTACTTACAAAAAATAAGTACCATATATACTCTAAACTCTAAAATACTTCTCTATGTAAAATGAATTATTTTAATCACTAATATTCATTATTTAACATGTTTTTTTTAATATTTTAACGTGATCTTAATAAAAGTGAGCAAATTCATTTGGAAGGGAAAAATATTTTGGACTTTCTTAAAGAATTGGCCTTGTTTGGAACATGGCAGTTGGCTGTTGGTTGTTTATGTTAGCTAGTTTGAATGACTGATTAAGTTAACTGTTTTGACCGGCTGTTTGTGTTAGCTGTTAAAAATTAAATGTTTGGCAACTTTAGCTGTTTATAGTTAGCTGTTTGTGAGTAAAATTACATATAAGTACATCCCTCCATTTATGTTAATTTGTGTATGATTTTAATTTTTTTTAATTTGATAAAATACACACATTATACAAGAAAATGCTTAACATATTTTTTTTTTGTTGGACAATATTAGGAAGTATAATTAAATTAGGATACTTCTTTCCTTTCCTACTAGGATTATTCTTTCCTTTCCTACTTGTACTTTGATTACTCTTGTATTCCCTATATATAGGGTCATATCTCTCAATATTCAATAAGACAAGTTATTATCAAATTGTATCATGGTATCGGAGCTAAGGCTCTCAAAAACCTAGCCTCTCTTTTTTTCCGACCGCCGCCCACCATGGCAGCCCCGTCGGATCCTTTGGCGTCCTTACCCTCCGGAGTAAAACTTTTGCTTCGGAGTCTCCACAACTTAATCCCAGAAAAACTCACCGAAACAAATTATCCGGCATGGTCTCTCGATGTCCAGACAGCTCTTTCAGCTAATCTCCTCCTTGATGGATTGATGGTCATGAAGCAGCCCCGGCGCCAACTATCTCCAAAAACGATAAAATCGTCCCTAATCCAGAGTATACCTCCTGGACCATCGTTGACACACAGATCCGCGCCTGCCTCCTAGCGGTCATCAGCCCCTCCGTTCAAAAACATGCTCGCGGCTTCACCACATCTGCTGCCCTCTGGGATGCTTTGGCCGCACGGTACAACTCCGTGTCCACCGCTCATGTTTATCAGCTTCGGGACAAACTCCACACTCTTCGTAAAGGTACCAAAACTATGACACAATACCTTGATGATGTGGCAACTATTCTCTCGGATCTCGATGCCTTGAAAGAAGAGATCCCTGAACGTGATGTGGTGAATGCTGTTATTCGTGGTCTTCCCACCGAATACTCATCCTTTAAGCAAAACATTCGCATGAACAATACCAATATTTCGTTAAATCAGCTTTCTGGATGGCTGATCTCCGAAGAAATAAACCTGGAGATGGAGAATAAACTCAGCCTCACCGAGTCTACCATCACCGAACCTCGCACA